ATACGTTCAATTTTCCACAATGAAAACACGCCAATTTTTCATACAAATCACTTTTGATGCCATCGCTTCATCGATCAATTTGAGTTTTGCTCTGCACACAGTTGGACTTTGATTACACATCAAATATGCAGCAAAATCATGGTAAAATCCGAAGAAAAACATCGACATTAGAAAAAGAAAAGTGATCAACTCCTTCGCTTTATGATGAACACACCCTTAAGCTGGTAAAGTGTTTTATTATGAATCTTGATGTGCATTTTGCATACATAAATTTCATCCATGCTTGAAGGAACATCTCGAAAACTTTGTTGCAACACACTTAACAAATGCAAATAGACGTTGCGCCAACGTTGTCTATTTTGGCATACACTGAGACTGATATTGACTGTGGGAAAGAAACAGCAATCGAACGACTGTGCGTGTGAGAGGGAAAGAGCTGATATCATGCATATTGTTTAAATTGCCCTTATGATAGTCAGTTGCAATGAATAAATCTCAAATACATTGAAAATTAATCATATGTAAATAATGAACAGTTGCCAGCCCTTTTGTTCAATAAAATTCATTTCATTTCATTTTGATAGCCCAGTCGATTTGCATACACTTTCAATCGTTGTTGTGCAATGTTTCATTGTTTCATCATATTCATTACGATGCAATTTTTGATTCATGACATTTACGAAATAGTTTGAATCCTGAACGAATTTGGAACTAAAATAGAATACAATGTTTCAACTGCTCATTTTTCCACACAATAAAATTTGATCCGCAAAATACCTATTTCCGTCCTAATGAGAAAAAAAACTCTTCATTTAAAATGCACTTTCGATATGACATTCCAAAAATCAACTTCGGATTAAAAGCAAACGACAACATTGTATGCAAGTTAATAAATTGAATTTTGGTTTACTAAGCCATGCTAAATAATATATCACATAGTGAATAACATTCAGTCAATATGCACATTATGCATTTATGTTAAAAAATCCCTTACTATGAGCACCAATGATAAAATTTGCCTATGTTTTTATATGGAGCACGTGTTTATGCTATATTTAAGCCACATCTTGGCGCTGAATGCTGAACTATGAAACACCTATATAAATATATTGTCAACTATCAATGACAGCAACCAATGACAGCTACAATTGAACGTATTTGTATGGCAAAATACTTCCTGCTTGCAGATGGCGCCAAACCAAACGTCATTCTAGTCATTTTTCTCATTGTGAGCACAAAATCGTCTTTTTTCTTTTTACGAAATTTTGTCATGGATCAACTGATTACCTTGAATGAATTTTAAAACATGGTCATATCACATTGATATCTCAAAAATACGAAATATGCAAAACTTCTCTCTTGTCTATCAACTTCTACATCAAACGCCGTTATATTTGTCTATATTCCCACATTTCATTATTAATGTTCATTCCAAAAGATGGTGAAAAATCCATCAAAACCCTGAAAATTAATTGAAACCTGTTGAAAAGTTGTCTCACTGCAAATCAGAAGAGCTGACGATTCGGTGCAAATGAATTCTCGAGTGACGTTCTGTCACTGATACTCGGTATACTTTGACCGAAATTGATTTTTTTAATATCTAAAATGTTCATCTCTCCTCATTTTCGCTACCTCTTTCTCCGTCTCTCAGTAAGCGTATTATAAAATCATTAGCTCTACCGAATAGTGGATTTGAGGAAAAAAGTTGAACGCATTTTTTTCTGTTTCAAAAAGACAAAAGTTTCGTTTCATTAAAATGGGATTTTTTTTTGTTGTTGTCTGATTCGAGTTGTGAGGGCATAGGAGATGAGATGAGATGAAAGAAAGAAAAAACTAGAAGTTAAATCCAGCAAAAAGGCAATGGTACTTTGAATGATCGTATTTCAAGAGCGCAGTTTTTCTTTCGGATGATTCTTTTTGTGAATTTTGTGCAATCTCAAAAATATTTTAATGCGGTTGTTCGCAATGATGATTGTAATTTATGTCATTTGAGTAGAATATTCGTTTGCACGACCAGAGACCAAATTAAAGAGAAAAAAGAAACGAAAATGCAATTCACTAGGTGCAAACAAGCGTCATTGTGCACGTAATGTCAACAAGGTAGTACGAATGAGACTGTAGTTGATAGTAATGTGGCCGGTTTTTACTATCTCTGCATTCGACTTCATCCATCTGATGGTGCGCTGTAGCGAAGCATCAAGAGGTAGAACGAGAACGTGAAAGAGCGATAGAGAAGGAGAAAAAGCGAAAGAGTGTTTGATTTGATACTCAACGAAAAAGTGTCTGAATTTTTTTTCTGTTCCTGTAATGCTTGCACCCATGTTCATCGTCATACACTTTTATGACTTTCATCACATAAATGTAATTACATGGAATTTCGTTAACCGTTTATGTGGATTATGGCAATGTTGTCGTCCAAATTTGTCCACTTAATTTGAATGGCATTAAGAGACAATGGCCTATGGCCATCACCATCCCTCCAATCTAATGATTTTATTGTGTAATATGCACGAAGCATATCGACAGAAAAAGTATTGTATTAAAGTGTTCGCCACTTTCGAGGCTCAAATGTGGGTCGAAACTAGCGTAATGAATTTGTCGGAAAGATTTTCTTCGGAAATGCCATTTATTTGTAGTCATTAACCGTGACGAAATCCGATTTCATCTCGTCGAATTTCCATAGCTGCCACTCTGTTCCTCTCCGTGCTAGCACCAACTTGTGCTTGTCTATAATGAAAGGAAATTAGATTTTTGTCACGGACTAACGAAATTGTAATTAATTGTAAAACTTTTCACCAGATTAACCTGTGCCCCGTACCTTTTTTTCCCTCTTCTCGTCGAACTTTTCGCGCATTCTTCTGGCTGGATGTTGGAAATGAAAGAAATTCTTCCGGAGACAAGTAAATTTGTTGTAAAAATTACAACTTGATTTTGCATTCGATGCTTTCTACATTTTTCTCTAGCTTTTGTCTCATTTACAAACTTATCCATTAAATTCGATTTATCGATTTGGATATGCAGCAACGGAAAAAAAGAGAAATTGTGGCCAATTCGTTTTATTTTCGTGCGAGTCGCTCCATCAATTCCACCGAAAAGTGTTCCAATTGTCGAACACATTCAAAAATCCGCGTTCCGCTTCCGCCGCATCGATCCCACCGAATCGAATGTGTCGTTTGCACAATACACGAAGCTCTCGTGCCACCGAATGCAAAAAGCCATAAGAACGATGCCAATCGAACAAATTTATACGATGGAAATAAAACTATTTTAAATCCATATTGCAGTTGAAGGAGTGCTAGCAAATGCACTAAAATCATTCATGGATATCAATAAAAAAAAGTGTTCCCATTCCTCTCGCTCACTCGAAGACGTCTCTTTCTATTTTCTCGTTACCCATTGTCTTTTCTATTTCTCAGCGCTTTGCACTGTGAATTGCTTGATGCGGCGATATCTAATATGGCAATCTTATTCGCATTTTTTTTTCCTAAGAAGCTATAAATTTTATTTCGGTTAAAGTTTTGCTGGGGCCCCTTTTTTCACTCCTTTTCTGTTCTCTTCCATCTCTCTCAGTCTTTCGTTCACACATGCTCTTTCTCTCTCTCTCTCTCCCACTCACTCTTGCTCTTCTCCCACAATAAACTCTTTGTGCCGCTATCATATCTCTTTAAATTTTTTTTTGCGTGTGTCGTTTTTCAACGGCAATAACACTTAAAAGGAAACCGTATCGTTAAATGTTGCCAATTTTTGCACTTGTTCTTCGAATGGTTTTTTTCTTCGGCTTCATGGATTTTCTTTATCGGCATTAGACACCGATGGCTCAAACAAAATGCTCAAAGACAATATTTTTACGATTTTGCGCCAAAAAAGAACTCGACAACGCTTTTTTTCTGCTTCCGCCGTCTTCTCGTTCCAGGAATGCTTAGATCGTGTGGGCGAAAAAAGGAAGGAAGGAAAGAATAGATGCCACACACACATACACACATATTCATGTGTTCATATGGATAAAGTGGCCAACGATGATTCGTTTTTTTCTTCCTTGGTTCGGTTCTGTTCCGTTTCATTTGGTTCGCCCACTTCATTGTTTTATGTATGGCTTGATTTGGTGGTAAGTGCTGCAATTATACGCTTTATCATCGCTAATTTGAGCAAACGCCTTGCAGTAAACGAATCTTTTTCATATCCCTTCGTTTCTTGCTCCACCGAAATTGAGCTCTTTCCGAAAAACGGATCCATTAGTAGATCATTGACGTTCGGCAATAATTTTAATGATGTGACCAACAGCCAGCCAACGATAAATGCATCAATTGCTGGTGGAATTTAATGTCTGAGTGCGGCAAACGAAATGGATTTGATTGCGTGACATGATTCTATTTATTGACATCCAAAGCAATCGTTCCCCTATGAAGTTGTAACGAATTTTCTTCCAGTGTGTGTCTGGTATGCAGTTTTGTGGCCGCTAAGCCGCAGCATACACACACACATTCCGTTTTGGGAAATCGGCGAAGGACGGTTGACACGGTGAACTGAATCGTGTTCGGCACTCGATTTTATGATTGTTATGTCTACGTCAAATGTGAGCAAACGGGCAAGCGAGTGGAAGAGATTGTGTGTACGATTGTTCAATGCTGCTGGAAAAAGCCACCCCAAAACTCAGCACTCGGCCGATATGAATTGGGCAACAGACACACATATATAAGGTAAACGGAACATTGCGATGCCAGAGATCTCGATTCCTCTCTCGCTCACTGAAATCATTGCCTAACTATCATGTGTCTTATGATTGCATTTTCGGTTTTTCTGGTCAAACGGCAAAAATCACACGCATTGTGCTTCGTTTGTTCGTTCGGTCGGTCGCCGAAACACTGCTATTTGTCTGCTGCTGCGCTATGCGCATGATCACCGTTCGGCATGGCAAGAGTACACAATCGAATCCAACGTACACGTTTCATTTAGAATTCACATTCGGTGGTGAATCGACTGAACGAACGAACGTGTGTGCTGAACGAGAGACGGAAATCAGATTTCGGCTTTCAGTCATTGGATAGACACCGATCGAAACGAATGTGTTTGTTGCTGTATTGAACCCGGCACGAAAATAAATCGCGAACGTTTTTTGCGACGATGCACTTTCCATGAACGATGCAAAATTACGAAGAAGAGTGTTGAAAAGAAAGCCTCCTTTTCAGTTCCTGTAAAAAGTGAAACATTTTAGTGAGTTTTTCTGTGAATTCCAAATTATGTGATCCATGCAAAAGAGAATTTTGTCCCAAAATGGCATTTCTATCGAAAAATGAACAATTGATTGGTGCATAACTTATGCTCATGCATTACTCATCATTTGCTGATGTTATGCTAAGAATAGACGGAAATCACGTTTCAAAAATTCCATGCCATTTTCGACTTGTGAATATTTTAGCAAATTTTTGAACATTGAATATCAAACAACAAATCACCGAAGCGTGTAATTGAACTGAAGTTTTGCCACAGAACAAATCAATTTCGAAGCGAAAAATAGCCAACGAAGGGAATTAAAACATTTATTGCGTTGAGAGAGAGAAAGATAGAGGGAGAGAGAAAAAACGAATTCCGAGTAAAAAAAAAATTGCACACAATAAACTTATAATGGATTTATTGGCCGATGCAGAACAGAGTAACTTTCTCCGACAATTTTGGTTGTGCCCATCGCAAAGTTGATGTGAATGTGTGGGAGTGTGTGTGTGTGGTGGTAGCGGCTATTTCGGTGGCAATTACATTAAAAATTCAAGTACTCAAAATCACATTTGTTAGCCTGCTAGTACACATGCTATTATCGATATTCATTATTGTCACAGTCGCAAATCATTAAAAAGCACTGGCTAACAACAAGCCAGTAAAAAAATAGTACACAAAAAAAGATTTTGCGGAAGGATCGATCGGAATAGCAGAAAAAAAAGCTACAGAGAAAAAAATAAACAAACAAAGCGAGAGGAAGAGCGGTAGAAAAAAAGCGAATACACTGGAAGAAGTGGAACTGCGAAACAGCTTTTTTCACGCTGTTTCGGGACGTAAACTCCGTCAAAGACATCGAATTGAAAAGCAACCAACAGCGAAACAGTGCACAAACATACACAACACGAGTGGGAGGGAGAGAGAGAGAGAGAACGGCACGACTAGCACCACAAAAAAGTGCTTCACAAAAGATAGAATTGTTATTCTTTGTGCAAGAATATTGTTGTGCTGCGTCGGCTTTTCGATCGAAACGTACAACCGAGAGAGAATGCGCGCGCGAAGCAACGAAATTGTGCAAAAAGGACGGAGTAAGAGCGAGTGAGTGCATTTCAAGCGAAAACAGTGGTTATTTCCCACAATTCCGAATATTTCCCTCTACCCAGCCACCGTCGTATCGTCAATTTACAATCCGCTATTTTCCACACTTACTCAATTGCTTCTATTTGTGCGTTTGCAAATAAATGTGTCGCGTTGAATCTGCTGCACAAATTCGAAAACCGAGTCACATAGAGATACCGATAGAGAGGGAGTGAGAACGAGGCGCATTTTTTACGAGCTGTTTGTTTATTTTCGCCTGATATGCAAATAACACAATGGATGTTAGTATGTTTACGCTTCGAACGAACAACGTAGACATAATTCCGAGCAGTGCGAGTAAAATTATGTAATATTTTATGTATATACCGACCCCGATAGACAGACACATACACAAAGAGCGAGCGAGCGAGCGCGGGCGACCGAGAATCAAAAAAGCGGAAAGAGAAAGTCGGCAAAAGACAACTGAATTGCTTATTAGTGCGAGAGATAGACAAAGCATAAAATTGCATTCAGCACAAACAAAAAAAAAACAATTTTCTCGTTTTCAGTCAGTTTGTGAGCTTTGCATTTTTTTCCGTCGTTTTCCTTTCGGCAATTCGTACTGTATGTTGGCGGTGGTGACTATTTGTGCATGCACCTTGAATGCGTAAACTGTTTTCAATTTGAAAGTGAATCCGAAAAATACACATCGAGTTAGTGAGTGTGTTTGTGTGCTAAAAAGTGAAGCATAGAAACCATAGCCTAACATAATTTGAACCGTGTACGCGATCGTCGTCGTCGTCGTCGTCGTCGTCATGGCAAATCAATCTCTTTTAGTGTTACATTGAGTGATATTCATGTGTGACGCTCATAATTATGCATCGTGTGTTTTGTTCACTTTCATGGCATATGAGCACCGTGACGGCAATCGATGAAGGTGAACATAGGGAAAATTGTCACACACACTAACATTAACGTTTCGGTAGGGCAAACAAAAAATCGCATCCGACCAGTTCTTTTCGTTTTTTTTTTCGCTCGTTTTCGGCTTACCCGTGAGAGCAACGCGTGTGTCACGCTCAGATTTTATGATGAAAAATTTATGAGTCTTACCCAGTTTTCCACATAGTCGAAAGAGTCGAAAAACGGGAAACACAGTGATTATACTGAACGAAAATACAGCAGTAGCAGGCAGAGAGAGAAATAACCGAGAACTGAAAAACATACAAAAGTAATACAGCGTAACTACCAGCGGAAATCGTGGAAAACGCCAACCTCGAAAAAAGGAGAAGAAAAAAAAACACGACAAAAGAATAAACAAAGTGAAACCGGTATCACAAACGGTTGATGTAATAAAACGTACCATTGTACACACAGCAGCCACGGCAACGGTCAACGTTGAGCTAACGAGAAATGCAATTTTATGGTATTTGTGCTTCATTGTAAAAATGCAATTAAGATGAAGTTGGATATTTTAAATAAACTCTTCTTGTGGATTGGACTCATTGCCGTTGCACACATTCCACGGTCCATAAACGGTATGTATATTTGGCTACACATTTTATGAACCACTTTTGGATACTCATTTCAATTCGGTGTGTGGATTTTATTTTCGCTGTGGATTTACGTCTACAGTTTGTGTGAGGAGAGAGAATTGGTCGGTTCTGTTTTTTTAGGTTGTGGTTTCCCGGGTTCGAGCAGAAATATTCTTTATTATTTATTAGAAAGGCGGAGTGTTTCCATTCGATCAATTGTTGCATGTAATGTCCAAATTAAAAGTTTGATTTTTTTTATTAACCGCGAAGTAAACGTGACTCAATTTATTTGTATTTTTAGTTCAATTAAATGGCTTTCCGTGTTGCCAGTCATAGATATTGATGATGCAAATTATTTACATGGTTTCAAACTATCGAGTATTCTACTGATTATAAACCAATGCTCACTGTCTGTTCCTTTAAATTTGCCCCTTGACTCTTTACATTGTGACCAACGATGAACTGGCGTATGATTCACTTAACCAAACGTACGTTTATTTTTAAACAAATGCACACAATTTAGTTTATCTCTATCAAACTGTTAACACATTAGGTCTGGTGTTGAATTCGGGTTGTGTGGCAAGTGGTAACTCAATCGATTAACTTGTCAGACAAACACACATCTCGAACCTTTCGACGGAGCATTTATTTTAGTCGCTGATATTTCTGACAAATATATTCCGGAAACGACGAATGAAACCGCATTTATTCTAAATTTATATAAATAGACATGCTTATCTCCCATTGACAAATTCTTTTATTCAAACATGAAAAAACTTTTGACTGTTTACAAAAATATTGTTTTTAAGATCCACTTAAAGTAACACCACGAAGTGGTTTGCCTTCGTTTCGTTCTCACAATTGCACAAGAAAGCAGGAAAAAGAACATTTGCATTTAAAACATTATTGTTTCGACACCTTATTATTCGGTGTCATTGTCGAGTGTGGGAATATAGTTAAGATGGTTTTTATTACCACCGGATATTACTTTAAACGAGTTTTCTATACAGTAATATTCGTCAAAGTACGTGCTATTACTTCTCTCTTTGGTGTCAACCTGTGTGTAATCGTTGCACACGACTAGAATGAAGCCGGTGCAAACGAGAGCTTTTTCTCTTTCTCCCAGAATCCTCACGAGTGTCTATGTGCGAATGCATGTTCGATGGCATTACTAATGAGAAAAGTTTTTAATGGATCACACCCGAAATATTTTTGGAGAAAACAATAGAAAATGTGAAAATATCACATGGTGCAAGTCAGAACGCTTCGATTCGATTTATGCATGGTCGTGTGTGTGTGTGTGCGTATGGAAATAATTTTTGAAATATGCCACGTCTAATCGGTAGATTTACGGTAGACTTTGTGATACTTTATATTTACACATGAAGTGTTTGCAAAGCTCGCTTAAATGTTTCTAATACCGTCTAAATCGAAATTGAATTTGATGCAATTTTGAGCTTCTTACGAATCGCAAATTATAATTCGTATACAAAATTCCTTGGAATTTCATAAGCGCGAGAGAACGCTGTGTAACCGTCCGAGCAATAACACTTTTCAAAAATGCATACATAAACGTTTTCAAGTTTAAAGACTAACGGCATGCAACATAAAACCATTTCCGACTTTTTAATTAGTTTTTAGTATTTACCTCGTGTCCAACCAATTCAAAATTATGTTGCGAAAGGAAGAAAAAAACCGGTCGTGATTCCATTTTTCCAGTTGGTTTTCCATGGAAAAACCAAGTGGTTCTTTTTATTACGAAATATCAACGCCATTTGTTTGCAGTAAAAGCACTTGAAAAACGGCTTTGATAATCGTAGTTGTGCTTAGTAATTTGCCATGGCCATATTCGACGAAAGTTTTCGTTATTAATTTTCATAGTTTTTTTTTTGGAGGGAGAGAGAAACATCCAGATTTTTACGTTCGCCGTTCAAAGTTAAGTTCAATTAAAAAGTTCATCGCCACCACATCATTTTCAATGTGCTGCTGCACATTTTATGCGCGGAATTTCCGTTTCACATGTACAACTCAATGGATTAGGAAACAAAAAAAAATTGTAATGAAAATTGTTGCCATTTTCAGTGTATTATTTTTTCTTCTTCGCGCACTTCATCGTCAATTAATTCTAATTGTGTGAGTTCGGTACGTGATTTTATGCAAATCAATATGCTAATTCATTTAAATTCGAGAGAGAGCGAGACTACATTAGTACGTCGATTCAAACAGCGTTAAATGAGTTTTTCTCTCTGAAAAAGTGCCATTTCCAAAATCAAATAAAATCAAAGGTCATAAAAAAATGAACCGAAAAAAAACCATTTCACCACTTTATATTAATTTCGAACAGTGAATGCAACAATGGCTTTCATCCTCATTAATTCGGGACTAATTTAATTAACGATTTACAACGGCAAGAAATGTCAAAGTGTCTTTCAGCTGAAGCTAAATGAAAATACGCAACTGCTGATGGTACGCCAGTCTGTTGCATCATTTTATATTCTAATCAAGAGAATTTTTTCGGCCCGTTTCAGGACTGCTTTTAATTTAATTTTATGTGATCAAACGCGGAATACATCGATGATAGCAAAACGGGTGAAAAATGGAAACGAATGCAAAAATATCTTAACGCATAAAAAGAGATAAAGACGTATGTATGACTTTAAATTGTAGAAAGGACGAGACAATGTATTTGGCTAATGTCAAACATATTTTAGGGTTTAAAAACGCGTTATTTTTTTCAGTGTTTCTTAAAAACGTTTTTTTACAGAGCCGTTATATAACGCCCAAAAAACGTTTTTTTCGTTTTTTATCGTTATTTCTGCGGTATTTTGGACTGTCAAAAAAAACACTACAGAAAAATAACGTTTTTATAACACCGTTTGCGGTATTTGTCGAAACGTTTGTAAACCCTAGCTAGCTTACTGAAAACATTCTGGCTGGCTCAGCGGCTGAATTCTATGCGTCAAACATGTGTTTCAAGATTTCTGAGCATCTCAGCATTTCGTAAGGCACAGAAGTGTGTTCAGTTGATGTGGCTGCACGCAGCAACAACATACACACTCCGGTCGAGTCGTTGCGGCTGCACGTAGCAACACACGCCACTGTATTATAAAGTATGCGTCGTCGATATGCTCGGATATATCCGTGCCTTACGAAATGCTGAGATGCTCAGCAATCTTGAAACACATGTTTGCTATGCGTTGCGTTTTTTCATCGCATCTGCAGTACAGAAATCATACACACTACCGTGCAAAAGTTTGGAACCACTAGGTATTTTTCATACAAATTGACCATTTTTGGTGGACTCATTAACATATTTCGGAAACACCTGCACTCTTGATATTTTGTGCATAGTTTCTACAACGTTTCAATAGTAAAGCTAAGTACACAGTTCCTCGTGAAATGAAAAAATTTCTCCGGTGAAATTTTCACAGGTGATAATTTTATGGTGTTTTTTATTTTCGAATTGCAAGCATAATGATTTTTGATGTATAAATCAGCTAACTCATCCCAATATCAACACGACGCATGAACAAATTTGGTTTTTGAGTTCATTCTTCTATGTGTTTTGTCTGAACAAATTTTTTTCACGCTCGTGAAAAATATTTCGCGTGCAAAATGTACGCGAAATTTTTTTCACGGCCGTGAAAAAATAAGAAAGATCAAAATAAATTCAAGTATGAATTCAAAATTCAAATTTGTTCATGTGTTGTGTTGATATTGGAGGGAGTTAACTGCTTCATACATCAAAATCATTATGCTTGCAATTCAAAAATACAAACCACCATACAAATATCACCTGTAAATATTTCACCGGAGAAATTTTTTCATTTCACGAGGAACTGTGTACTTAGCTTAAATCACAGAGGTTTCATCAAAAAATATTCATGAATTTCAAAAATATAGCAATTTGAATTTGTACTGTGTGAAAAATGATCAAATTTGTATGAAGATTAAAACAGATCAAATTCAAATTGATATATTTTTTAAATACGTGAATATTTTTTGATAAAACCTCTGTGATTTACAATTGAAACGTTGTAGAAACTATGCACAAAATATCAAGAGTGCAGGTGTTTCCGAAATATGTTAATAAGTCCACCAAAAATGGTCAATTTGTATGAAAAATACCTAGTGGTTCCAAACTTTTGCACGGTAGTGTATATGGAGGTTTTTGTTTTGTTTCCAAATTTTCATCGAACTGACGACAACAAAAGCCAGCAAATTGAGTTAAAAATGGACTTTGATCAATAAATGGACACAATACGAAATGAAAAACTGAGTCAAAAATAGTTAAATTCTCATCTTTATTTCCAGATTCTGGGCCGCGTTCCAGTAAAATGAAGTCCTGAAACGAATCATTTGATAATTTTGCCTCTACCAAGCAAATATTTGCATCTAAATTTTTACCAGCTTGTTCATTTGCTCGAAACGTTTTATGTACACTGTACAGTCGATCAATGATTTGGACCAACAAATCTCTACCTCTCATTTAGTTTCATTCGCTCTCTTTCTCTTTGGCCTCTCCCATTTCTCCTGTCTCCTCTTCTCCTCTGTAGCTCACCCAATGAAACATCCACATGCAAAATCAAATATTTTTGTGTTAAATTCCACCACCAAATTAAATGTTGTATTTAAATAAATGAAAACAAAATGGTTTGCAAAGAATGCACTACAATTGAGAGCGTATGATGTGTGATTTTATTATATTTACCGCTTTATGATTGTGAGTATAAATAGTCGGTTAATTATAATGCAGATTCAGGAATAAATTTCAAATTATTAATTTATTGACATCGATCCATGACATGGTGATTCATGTAGCCTTTTGTATTGACTGTGTTTGTTAAATGGAAGGCGAAAAAAGGGAAAAACAATTCATTGAAAATTCAAATGGGCTGTAAAAAATAATAATTCATGAATAATATGATGAATATAACACCAATCAATTATAATATGCGGTGTAAATGGCGTTGGTACAGTTGAAAATGTGACGTTGAAATGGA